AAATTATAGTGTGAAATATGTCTGCAAGATATTTCTTGCTTTTTCATAGCTGTCACTACCATCTTGTCCTTTGATCAGAGTAAAGAATATGTCTTTTACTTTCATGTCTGCCATGAGAATAAGCAAATCCTTCTTGAGATTTACCCACTGTGAAGAGTTTGAAAGTAGAAAAAATCCATCGTTTCCATCTTGCTGAAACACATGATGTTTCTGAGTATTCAAATATTGATGTTGTCCCTATATATCTGTTATTAATACACTTACCATTTAATTTTCCTTGGTATCTGTCATGTAATGATTGAGCCAAATCTGTTTGGATTTAACCATATTTAAACCTTTCACAGTTGAACTTCTTTTTGTTAGACTATTTTTACAACTTCACATGTGCAACCCAATCAGATATTCTAAAACTAATCATTATTTCTGACAGCTAACGGAGATTAAGTAATTGTCACCAAATAGAACTTGTCATTAATAATTATGAAAGAAACTGTATATAAGTACTTGCCTTATTTTATGATAGTATGTTAATATGGCAGATACTACTATAACCAATGAAATAAACATTAATATCAAGGACATTTCTAACACAGAACTTCCATACTTTGAAAACTTTAAAGGCAAAACTGAGCCTAATGATGGTTACTGTAACCTAAATGCTTACTACTTTCATACCATCAGTGTGAAGAAATTCTGTAGTAGCTCATATTTTTAAATAAAATAGACATTGAAATTAACCTTAAAATTTTAAGTGTCATTTTAAGGGTTTATTCAGCTAAGTATATATATATAAATTTATAGAATTATTGAAACAGTTTGTACAATCAAGCATTAAATGATACCATTAGCATTAAAAATGTAAGAATCGTGAAGCTATTAAAAAATCATAGCTAGAAGTGAGAAAGTATGAAGATTAGTTTTAATTAACCAATAAAATTTATTCTCAATTTGTAATAGCTGTAAAGCTTACCTAGTCCCAATCATTAGACAGAAATATATTCTTTCAGGACTAAATGCTGCCCTAAATTAAAAAATGAAGAAAAATTAAATAAATCATAGGACTTTATGTTTTTAGAAAAATTCTGAAAATTAAAACTCCTACATGAGCTTTGCAAGTAATATAGAAAATGTCCACATTTCTATCTGCAGATCAATAAAATTGACAGAATATATAATGTAGTTCAGAATTGCATAATGAATGGTAAGAAACTCTTAAGACAGCTGAATGTTTGCTAAGCCGTAAATATTTAATTAAAAGTAGATACAAATTAACTTGAGTAAGCTGACACAGAATTGGTGACATTTAATTTCCAGTTCTTTTATTCTATTTATAATGCTTAATAATTTTTACTTACATTACTCTAAATTGCTTAAGTGCTTTACTTTTTTTTGTATAAATAATACAAATGAAATAATACTAAAATTCAGTAATGAGTGTTTCCTCTTTACAGAAATATTGCAGTAATCTGGTTTACATTTTCAAAACAACATAAATTTTAATATATGATAAACTTATCTAAACAAAAGAAATAAAAAGTTCTTGGTATCCTAAAATTAAGTTCATAGATTGTGCATAAAATATTGAGTTACAAGTTTATTTCTTCTAGATATGCTTAAAACTTGGTATCCTAAAATTAAGTTCATAGATTGTGCATAAAATATTGAGTTACAAGTTTATTTCTTCTAGATATGCTTAAAACTTAAATGGCAAAATCATGCTTCTGAATAATCTGGAGTTTTAAATAAATCACTTCTTGCTTTTATTATTTCATGGGAATCTTTAGTGTTTTTTTTTTCTCTTCAAAATTTGTCTTGAAACTTCAAGCATTTAACAGGTTTATGACAGGAATCATATAAGTACGTTCATTGTTTTCTTAACTCTTTATAGCACATCATAAGTAGGCATCTGAATTATTTAATTTGTTGTTTTAATTGGTGTGCAATGTTTCCTAGGGCAATTGCTATGCATGAAATTGTATATTTACTCTTCAGGAATGATACACTTAATACTCTCCTTTAATCATTGTTATGGTACATGAGCAAAAGAAAACGTAAGAATTATCACCATTAGGGATCAAAATGCATATAGCTTATAAGGACTATTTAATTTTTGGTGGAGAATGGTTTTTCTTTTTTTTTTTCAGATCTATGTCTATGACTCAGATATTGAAACACATTAAATATGAGTAAACAAAATGTTTTCTACTATATTTCCAAAGTTAGGTAATTTTCTAGCTTTTCTGCAATCTATTTACACCTTTTCATGATCTTGTGCTACAGTAATTCCATAAAATATTACTTGCTCTTATCAAAACATAATTTGATAGTGCTTAGAGATACTCCAGAATTTCAGAAGGAAAATTACTTCCTATTTCTCTCATATGTCAAAAGCTTCAAAAAATGAGGACAGAAAACTAAAACATAAGAAAATATAGGTAAGCATGCATGCATGGTATGGAGTCCAGCTAATGAAGCTGAAAGAAAATCAAATCAAAAACTTATGCGAATGGATGAAAAACTAAAAAGAAAAGGTCTTGTTGTGGGAAGAAATTGTATTGTTTCACCAACTCATCATTCTCATACACTATATGGGAAGCAAGCAGAGAAAAGGAGTGTACTTTTGGCATGACGGAGCCTTTTGCAAAAGAAAATATGCTGCACGACTATTGTCAAGATGCATAGTTTTCAGGTAGAGCATGACTATTTATGGCAACATGGACTGTCATGATGTGGAGAGGCTTCAGAATCATTTTAATGTAACGTATCTCATGCTATGTATTTCGAGTTCCATTTAAGATTAGTTTTAAGCATCAAACTCATTTTTCCTGAGATGAATAACTTAAAACTGAAGAAATACAATGTAATTTGGTACAAAAAACGATAAGCTTAACTACATTCCTGATGCTGAACAAAGATTTTATGAACCATTATACAACGAAAGGTGTAGAAAGAGAAAAACAAGAGCAATATATTAAATAGAAATGTGGACTAATATAAAGGTGTATAAAAACAATGAATAAAAAAATTTAGATAGAAAACGTTTGATTATGTAATATATATTTTAACAAGAAATATTATAAAATAAATTCATATTAAGAACCTTCTGTTGTCAAGGCCTGCACATACTCCTGCAAGATTTTTTCCTTCAACTCTAAAGGTATGGTTTCTTGTTGTACAGCACTGATCACTGCAGAAAAGAATAAACAAAATAACAAAAATGGAAATATATAATAAAATGGAAAAAATTGTATTTTGAGAAAACAATAATTTGAGTAATTTCAGGGAAATAAAATTCCTAGTGTTAAGCAAAACAAGAAGCTATTACAAAACCGATCAAATAGAAATAGCTAATAAATACTTTAAAGAGTTATAAAATTCAAAAATAGTGCCTAATGTATCTGCTTCATAATTGGGTGAGCAATGCAAGCAACCAACAGCTACAGATTATTTTTATAATTGGTGGGTGCTGTAAGTGCTAAGGTCTTTTATCTTGTCATTTTTTATTATTCTTTTATAGGCCTACTTTAATTATTTTACTCACCCTTATTAAGTTTCTAGTCTATTTTTATCTTAACCAAAATATAATAATTTAGTTGACTTAAGAAATCAACAACCACACGATTAAAAGAGTAAGCTAACATTAAAACTTCAATACCTACAGTACTGGTACTTAGGTCTTGAAATTGGGCCTAACAAAATGTAACTTTAATGTTAGTTTTCCAACTTCCAAGAGAGCATTTGTTCTACACAATTCAGTGAATTACTCAATCTTTTTTCTCACCCTTTCCATTTTGCATCCTAGACCTATTATAAACGTGTATAAAGTACTTCCTTTCTTATTTGTATTATTTAAAAATAGTAATATTATATTTAAAGTTATCAACAATAATAGTGTCATACAGATATGAATTTATCTAAACAATGAACATATAAACATAATGCTGCATTACATTGCATCTTCATTACTTGTGTTCATATAACAGAATATACTTGTTGATATGTTCCTAAAATATGGCTTGGCTTTGGATTATAATATCATGTATCAGTTCTGGAACAAGTATGAATTTAATCAATGGTAAAATTTCATCTTACAAGAAAAAATTATTGAAGGACTATATGATACTGTGTGGCAATAACTTGAATAGGCATGTAATACTTTCACATGATATTGTGTATCAGTCAACCGGTGTAAATTTTGTTCATAATGTGAATTAATTTTACTAATTGATATTTGCATTTATATGAATATATAAATTAAAAATCCAATTTAATCTTCACATGCATAATTATAGACTGATATAAAAAGTAATTTATGGTAATTATTAAAAAAAGAAAATTAAGCAAGTAGACCTGTCAAAATCAATGTTCCATACCTGACATTAATAATGGACAAATCTTTCAAAGCATATTCTAGATCTGTTAGGATTATAGCCAGATTTGTCAACTATGTTATAAATCTGTACAGATCAGAACTCAGGTCTGGGTTTTATTTTAAGAGATTAATTAGAATTACTGTTATAAGTACAATTACTGTACACAAGTTATAGATAAGTTAATTTTTCTGTTTAGTGATCATAAAACTAGTATTTCAGAGAAGGTGATAAGCTTGTTTTCAATCACTCAAGGAAAGTCACAACATTTTACTTTTGTTAAACAACGCAGGTGTCACTAGGCACTGGCACATGAGGCTCTTGCCCCGAATCCTCAGTTTGTGTCTTGAAAAATCAGAATACAAAACCGTGATCGATATCATACTGAAATGCCAAAAATTCCCACCCTTATGGGCCCGGGCCTCAAATCTTTTAAGCATCTAGCAACGCCTCTGTTAAACAGGAACATTGCTTAAAGGACAAGTGAACACAGAGCTAAAACTTCTACTAAAAGCTGTACAACATGAAATTGTTTTTAAATGATGAAAACAATTCATTTTTTACTACAAAGAATTTGTAAAAAAATAATTAATAAATAAATATTTTTAATGGTTGATAAAACAATCACTTAGGTTAATTTTTCATTAAAAAAATGTTTCACACTGTAAAATGAAAATTGTGAAAATGTTACAGAATAAAATCATGGAACAAGTATACATGTGAATATGAGAGTGAATAAAGTCTGTACAGCTTTATAACTTTACTATATACATTTAGTTATGTTGCCAGATGGATATTTCCAAAACATTTAATTTGGAAGTGTGTGTTCTCTTATTTTGAGATGAATAATGATAAGAAATGTAGAGTGTACTTTCAATAATCTTGTAATTTTTGTTTTAGTTAAGATAATTTTGTGGTTTCTAAAGATAAAGGTTGCTCTTACAAAAACAAATAAGTATTAATTATTCTATATTTGTATTCTAGTTACCACAACGAAACTAAGACTACATGTTATCCATCAGTATGGAAAAACTTTAGTAGGAAACTTGAAGAATAAAGCCCTTTCTGTATTTCATGAAATGAATGAAAAGATTGGTGAAAGTTTCCAAAAAGAAATAAAAGTGTATGTTTGTTAACTAACCGTTTTTTGTAAATTCATGCTTCAGTTCAATGCAGTGTATTTATATAGTATCTTATAAAAAATCATTATTATCCTATTACTTGACATAAAAAAATTAAAGGAGCAACTATTTAATATAGTTTGATAAATTAGACTTGAACACCATTCCAAAAATCAGTATATCATTAGTTACCTGTATGTGCATATGATGTTTACTAATTCAGGGTATTCTTTTGGAGTGATACTGACAGTCCAGTAGAGTTCTTGCCAATGACCTAATTCTTAGTACAGGTGTGAATATTACCTTCAGAATAGTAAGAGATATGTTCTCTGGTGAGAATTCATGCTATCCGTCCAGATTTGAATATTAACTGATTTTCCCTTTTGGTTATTGTTACCATATAATTGTGTCACAGTATTACTTGCTGGTAGTGAGTGAACTTTTATGACATAGTTGTTCATATGTTAAAAATTGGACATGCATAGAAATGTGGAAGATTATTTTGATGTGTCCAGGCTCATAATAGAATGGTAGGGACATGATATTATAGGTAACTGATCTATGTACTAGACATATTGGATAAGGGCATGGATTGTCACCTCCATCACGTAATGAAAAGTATCCTAGCCTTCACCAGCCAACTTTGATTTCTATACATTTATCATATCATTTCTGTCCTGAGTTACAAATGCAAGGTAGCTTATCACAATCTTGGTAGTACAGCATAGGGTCTTATTAACTGAGGGGTTGAAGCAGGTTTTTTCAAAGTCACACCTGAGATATCTGTTGAAATACTGATAGTCACTCCAGTTACTGTTCTGAAGTTTATATCGAGTCCATGAGTAGTAAACTAAAAATTTCTACTAGGCATATTGAACATCTATGTTACGGATTGGGGCAAAATTTAATTTTTCTGTTAGAGCTCTATGGAAAGCCTGAAGAGAGTGTGTGAAATCAGCTCTGTTGGTAATAGAAGAATTTGAAGTAGAGAGTCCAAACTCTTCTTAAGTGGTAAGTAGTTCAGGGTATTCTCATCACATGATACATGACAGTCCACCAGAGATATTGCTAATGACCTATCTTTATGTGAAGCCATGAATGTTATCTCCAGATCAGTAAGATACACATTAGCATGAAGTGGCCTAAATGGATCTGTAGCTGCTCATAAACCACTGCCTTGGAGAGATAACCAAAGCAAAAGGCTGAAATGAGCATCAGACAGCAAATAGTGGGATGAACAAAACTGGAGAAGGGTGGTCTTTACAGATGAATCTAAATTCAGGTTGTTTGCAACAATCAAAGATAATTTGATTGGCAGAGAGAAGAACAATATTATGGTCAGTGTACAATATAAACAATGAAGTATGCCATTGGACCAATGCAAGTATGAACTGCATTTTAACATTAGTATGGTGATCTACACAAAATTAATGGCATCTTGATTGCTGACAAATATAAGCAGATTTTTATTCATCGTTTAATTTTCTCAAGAACAAGACCTATTGGATTATCTTACAGCAAGGTAGTGATCCCAATCATTAACCAAATGTAATGAAATGATACAATGAAGGAAATAGAGGTTTAAGAAACACTCACAATCATGATTTGGCCTGAAGAAAATCATAATGTGAATATTATTAAGGTTGTATGAACTTATGTGAAAACTAAGAAGGTCAAATAGCAACTTTGGTTGAATTATGTGGAGTCGATGCAGGACATTTGGAATAATAGTTCACAGTTATACATTCATAAACTTATGATAGCATAAAACAAGGTGTATGGCCCTGTTTAAAGTAAATACAGAATACTAGTGCATTGTAGAAATGATTTACTTTTATTTGTATTGTCCAGAATACTTGGCCATTTAGTTGCAAATATCATTATTTGCAACTCCTGTATGTCTATTTTCTTTTAGAGCTCATAACTTTTTCCAGTAGTGTGTTTTATTAGAATGATATTTTGTGCTTGAATGTTCTTCCTCAGATGTATCAAATCCTCAATAAGGCTGTAACGCACTTCAGGAAAGGTATTCTAATAATAACATAATTACATTATTTCCAAGTGGTATTAACATTACACTATGCCATTTACTCTATCCCACTTCTTACTGCTGCTTTCTTTTAAGGCATAGCTTGGTAATTAAGGAGCTTGAATAGCAATATGCGGGTTGTAGGATAAAAACTGTCACTAAACATGCTTACTGTCTCAGATGTGGGGAGCATTATAATGTGATGGTCAGTCCTACTATTTATTGGTAAAGAGTAGCCCAAGAGTTAGCAGTGGATGATGTTGACTAGCTGCCTTCACTCTAGTCTATCACTTCAAAATTAGGGACAGCTAGTGCAGGTAGCTTCCAAGTAGTTTTGCTTAAAATTTAATGTAGCAAAGTTTTTTTCAAATTTTAGTTTACTAAGGATCCTACCAGGTGTGCTGTTATAGATAAGATTATTTAAATCTGAGTCTGACCAATTGTATTATTTACTTATACTCATGGATTGTAACTAGTAATATGTTATTGAATAAATAGTGCACCTAAAGTATTCTCTAATTTTAGTTTTGTTTTTCACTTGGTTGAAGCACAATGTAACTATAAGATTCTGCCTTTTTTGAGTTTTTTAGTAGATTTTATGTATGTATACGAGCTATAACATGAAGAAAAAATTGTCCCAGGTTACAGCAAAAATGTATCACTGATTATAAGCAGGTATGTTTAAACAAACTAGTTATTTCTAGTTTCTGGGGGTATGTTTCTTAACCAGTGTTTATAGCTTAATTTTGATAAGATTAGAAAACAAAATTTGGGTTAATATCTGAAATTTCTGTAGATTGTTTACTTCATTTACTGATTTTAAAATTACTTACAATATATCCACATGCTGATACATTAAATTTGTCAGTTTTAGTATAAACAACCTACACTGTCTTATAGAGGAATACCTTTTGTACAAATATATGGTTTCAGAGTGGATCAACTGGCAGAATTCCTTCACTCTGAAATTGAGCAAGAAACCAAGATTCAAGAGGAGTTAGTAATTGTAAAGGACCAACTTTTTATTAATACAGGCCATATTATGTTCTCTCCTCCACAACTATCACCCATACCTGAATTCCAGAAATGTGTCCATCCAGCACATTTTACAATTACAATGGCTTGTAATTTATCTAGAAAGGTATGTGACACCTGACTGTTGTGTAATTTAGTGAAAACTAGATTCATGTTGTGAGTAAAACTGCATTTGTGTTTTGTCAAAAACTAGTGCTAATATTACTCAGGTGTATATATATATCAGAGGCCAACTACTACCAGTAGTTAAATTAATATTTTGAACATTTGACTTTATATATGTGGATCATTGTTTAAATGTGGTTCTGCACAAAAAAAGAAGAGTATAATTCAAATGTTGATAAATCTGGAATAAAGGAGAAAACACAATGTTTAGGTTATCTTCTGAATGACAACTTGTATCACATAGTCTGGTGGAAAAGCTTGATTAAAGTTTATTAGTTGCACTTACAAACATAAATCTAGCATGTTATAAAATGTTTGAGCTAAAAATTCACACAATCTTGTGAGTTTTTGAAGGGAATTTCTTATAAACATTTCAAGTATGTTTTGAAATGGAATATTAAATGACTAGAAGATTTAGTATGGTTTTGAAGCTTAGACTAGAAATTTCAGATCAAATTTGTGCTATATTTGTTTTAAATTGATCAAAAATTTAGTTTATATTTAAAAAATTAAGTGTAATGTGAGAGGCATACGTTTTAGGCCATATACAACTCAATAAGTGCTTGTGGTAAGGTTATGGCAATTGGATATCAATTATTGTTGTGGTTAGTAGCTTATATGATCATCTAAGTCTAACTATTAATTAGTAAATAATTTCAATTTTTTGTGTGTATATTTTTTTATATAATGGGGTTCAAGTTGAATGGATATAACACAAATCTTTCTGTCAAGGAAGACCCAAGATTAAATCCTGGCTACTACCAAAACAAAAGTAACCTTCTCAGAACTTTTCTGAAGATGGCAGCAGGTTAGCAGGAAAAATATAGAGTAAAAAATAATTAATATGTAGTTATGAATGTCAGCTTCTTTTACACACACATATATATTTATATATGTATATATATACATCAAAAATGAAAAATTAGTTACTACTTCATGAGTACACGTAGGTGATCGTGTAAACTACTAACCAGGACAACAAAATTCAGTATTTAAAAAAATTAATGGTGTGAATGAAATTTTTGTTAGGCAAATATTTCATAAATATGCTAAGGAAAAGTAATGTATTTACAGTTCTCAGAGGTGGCTCCTTCAGGTCTGGTTACCATGGTAACACTGGTAGATATTCTTTGTTATCTTATTGCTTCACAATCAAATGATAGAGAACTTCCACTTGAATGGTACCAGCTAACTCCAAGACAGGTTGAGATGTTCTGTGAGAATCTGGTTGCTCGCTCGGTGTGTATAGACTGGCGTTGGTTTCTTCTTTCTGTGTCATCTATCCCTACTTTATCATTGGACAGACTGTTAACTCTGAAAAAACAGTTCACTGAATTGGATAAGGAAAAGACTATGAAGTTATCACTAGAAATCTTCCATGATGTATGTGAAATGCTTCTAGATCATTGATTTAGGTACTTTTATAGGAAATAAAGAAGTTTGAAAAATATAAGGTTATTTATAATCATTATTATAAAATACTTCAAGCTCCACAGTTGCTAAACATGTGATAGATATAGTTAAAATGAAGTTGTTTTAGTCACATTATTTCTTTATGTAACAAACAAACTCATTATGTTTTTCACAAGTATTTTAGTATATTAAGTTACATGCAAAAGCTGAATAGAATAACTGGTGAAATTCTACTTTTTCTGTAACATTAAAAGCACATTGAATTTATTGTAATGCTAACTGTAATTGAAAATGACATACAGTAATATTTCATAAGATCAAGTTTGTGTCACAACTACAAAGAATAGACACTATTTGTTGTTTTCAGCCTAAAATGAAAGAAAGTAATTTTGATTGAATAGAGTTGACTGATAAAGTAATTGTATGTAGTATCATTTAAGAACCAAGTTTTGTGAGATTTTAACTAAATATAATTAACTGATTTATATTTCATATTCCCACAGGGAACTGATACCTCAATTACATATTTTGTGATTTAATCAACAATTCAAGTGTGTTTGTATTATGTAAATAGATTGACTTGTTAATGAACAATTTAAGTGGGTTTGTTAGTGTACTTGTATTATGTGAATAGATTGACTTGTTAATGAACAATTTAAGTGGGTTTGTTAGTGTACTTGTATTATGTGATAGATTGACTTGTTAATGAACAATTCAAGTGGGTTTGTTAGTGTGTTTGTATTATGTGAATAGACTGACTTGCTAATGAACAATTCAAGTGGGTTTGTTAGTGTACTTGTATTATGTGAATAGATTGACTTGTTAATGAACAATTCAAGTGGGTTTGTTAGTGTGTTTGTATTATGTGAATAGACTGACTTGCTAATGAACAATTCAAGTGGGTTTGTTAGTGTACTTGTAAGTCAATCTATTCACATAATAGCAAAGTGAAAATTTCTCAAATTTATATCGCTCGCTGTTGGTGTGGATACTCCCATTTGACTGCAGTACTTCTAAATCATTCATTTGCATCCAGTGTTGATAAGCCTTAAGAGTAATATAGGCCAACTTGAACTGTTATTTAAAGCAGAGTTTGATGTACAGATAAGTACACTCTTTGGTAGGTTGATAGGCTGCAAAGCTACAGAATGTGGTATTTGTGCTCTGCCCACCATGGGTATCAAAACCTGACTTTTAGTGTCATAGGCCTGCAGATTTACCACTGAAGAGAAAGATATAAATACATAAAATATTTATATGGTGAAAGTTTAATGGAAATTTTGTAAACATTTTCTTTCTAGCTAGTGGCAAAGATTAAAGAAAAACACCTGAAACAGAGTAGAATCAATTAACAGATATTGTTAGAATTATGGAGGTTATATATATGAATATTAATGTAAATTAAATTTATTGGTACCAATGAAAGTTACATACCATATTAAGGTATGAAATTCCACAAATGCCATCTTGATTATCATAAAACATCATTATCATCAATGAGCTTAAGTTTTCTCGTCGCTCAAAGTGATGAATGTCCTCTTCTGAAGAACTTGAATCTTCTTCCAGGGTATCACTCCACATGAAAACCAGCTGACATTTAGGTTTATATACTAATTTCATGTTGGAGAAAAGTAAAGGCACATCCACACAGGATGTAAGCAATGTCGTCAAATGTCAATCCACACCAAATGCAAATTGAAAATGTTCCAAAAGACTAGAAATAAATACATAACCCTGCTCATGCATTTGTATTGGACATAATAGAGATGGGCAGTCCCATTAAAATACAGATTGTGTTTTGATAACAAGAGCTCTTATCTCCATAATAGTAGTAGCCTATAGTTGAACTGATATTTTCAACAAACTAAAAATAAAATAATTTTGTTATATATACATATACAACTTACTGTAATCTCAACAGAGACAGGTTTTATTTCATAAATATTTTCATTCTATCAACAAAACAATCTTTGAAACTTGAAAAAAATGATCACACAATAAAAAATTATAATACCAGATTGCACACTGAGCTAAAACATGTAAGCCTAAGGTGTGAAGACATAAAGAAAAAGGAACAACACAAAAGAAAAATTATCTATACAGATTAACAGCAAGAATTCAGCTTGGGAGATTCTAGTACCAACATGAGCCAAAAGTTTAGTAAGGTCATTTAGAAGGCTTTGAATGGCACTGTTCTATTTTGATGTATACTAGTTTGAAATCTATCTGCAACCAGATTAAAGCATAGAAGAGATGTGAAACTTTGTTTAAAACTTTTATTTTCAAGTTCATTTTATATTGATATCATAGTAGGCTTATTGTAATTTTTACTTAGAAATTAATTTTAGACATTTTTATTTATACACATATATTTTGCATGAAACCTAATCTTTATGTTTTCTAGAATATCTTTCTCCAAATTAATGTTGCATATGGTTCTCACTTCTGTAACACTTGTGTAGAGTCAAACTTCTAATCTTGCTTCTGTAGAGAAACAGTTAATAATAGTTCCCCACATTGACCTTACATGATGATAAGTGTGTGTTTGTAGGGATTTCATTTGAGTAGATTTTTTTTAAGATATTGGTATCGTATCTATTCCACTGATACCTCAAATTCTGCAACAGTTTAGAGAAATGACATCTTTTATTTTCTCTTCAAGGATAGTAGACTTAATGAGGAATCTATACATCTGTTATTCATATAATCAACTGATAACAATACCTCAAATGCCACAACATTTTTGTTTTAAGTTCTAGGATGGTGAACTATCATTTTTAAGTGACTCAGGATTAATGAGTGATTTTGACATTGTTTTTTTTTTTTACGTAGTAGTTTTCTTGTGATTTCTAATTGCTTTCAAAACCGATGAAAGCATTTTGTATTGTGCCCCTCGAGGTCTTGGTTTTTCCAGAATGAAATGCTAATTTCATCCTGATGGCTCTTTGTGATCTCTTCTTGAATCTCTAGTAACTGTGTATTTTTTTATTATTTAATGCACAAGTTTTTCTTTTTGTTACTTGTGGTATCTGAAAGTTGTTAGTCATACATGATTGTGTTTGATGCTTCTGTGATTCTTTTTCAGATGGATTTTCTGTGATTTTTTTCTTCCTTCCTAAGACTTTGGTGTTAGATGGGTACCTAGCCTTTTTCCTATGTTATCCTCCTGGAGGAATTATAATGCTTCTAGTGCAACTGCATTAGAAAAAAATTCAAAACTGTATTTTCAATTTTATTATGGACCAAATGGAAATTAGTATCCAAGTAGGATAAATAAAACATAACCTCAAAGATTGGTATTTATTTAAAATATACATACAAAAAAGTTAGTAATTGTTGCTTATATGTCTTTCTTTTTTGAACAGCTGTTATAGAAACTTTCATTATTCCTAATCTCTTTTTCTACTTCTTCTAGAAGTGATAGATTTTATTTTGTTTCTCTAAAAGAATGGTTCTGAACATTTCTATACTGAAAATTAGACTTGAATGTATTTCTTTAAAATTGCTATTGTATTTTGTACAAAAAAAAATAGAAATTGTTTTTACACTTATTAAGATAAGATAAAAGCTAACACTATTGTTGAGGTTGTAAATGATCATGAATCAGTTTTCCAGACAATTTTTTTTTGGGATAGCTGAATTACTTAGCTGTAGAACCAGATCCTGAAGTAACGTTTATCAAACTTTGCAAATTGGCCACCATTGAAGAAAACTTTGATTCTGAAAATGATGATATCGAAATTCTTGTTCCAGTCTCGGTTACACTTCAGGTCAGATTCAGGTTTTAGTTAAACACATTTAATTATGGACAAGTGCATGCAGTTGTTAATTAGACTTTCTAGTATTTATACAACTGAAGTTCCTAAATTTTTTTATTATAGCTACACCAGTTTTATGTGCTAGAAAATGTTTTTAATATTTTGTCCATTAATCTGAATATATTACATTTTTTATAATCTATATATATAGCACAAAAATCTGTGTGTCAGTGTGTTTGTTCCTTATTTAACTACTCCTAGGTCACTGGGCCAATCTCAACTAAACTTTGAGGGATGATTGTTTGCAACAAGGGGCATGTTAATTCAAAACTCATCCACCCACATTATTGATGTTATTGAGCATTTATTATCTTTGATGTAAGTTAAAGTTAACAACATTTATAGGTGGAACCATGTTCTTACACCATATGTATATTTTTATGGTTTAGCTCCATGACTAAGAGTGAAGAAATTAATTTTCTTTATGGAAACCTAATTACACTACATTTTAAAAATTAATAAAACTACTATAGTCACATAAGACAAAGCCCCAAATCATTCTCCAAGAAGAAAGAAACTAACTCTCTAATAAAAATAATACTGTAACAGTCTTAACTACCTGGATATGGGCTCAGCCATTTTGACTGATCTTTTAACTACCATGTTAACTATAATTACTACTGAGTTTCTAAAATCAGAGGATCAGTAAGTAGTCAGAGGTTTCTTTGTGAAATGAAAATGTAACTATAAATATATATTAGTGTTCTGGTATTATGCGTTATGAAATTCTACCAACTTTTCTCTGTCAATATTTATTGAAGATGCATCAGGCATTAACGTATAGTTTCCACACCTGGAGTTAATATTATATATTTCTTTATGCAATCACAGCATTATACCTGTTTAAAACATTACACAAATTAACATTTAAAGTCATTTATTTTTACAAAATCAAAAGTCCATTTTGCATGCCTTGCCAAAAATTATTTACATTTTACCTACATGAATACTTAAATTCTCCTCAGGGTTATAATATTACAATCCATAACCACAAATCTTGTTGGTTTAGACTTCTGCAGTTGTAGAAAACAAACAAATAAGAACAGACAGGTTGTTTAAATTATTATCAATCTTTTTTAAATAGTTAATGCTTTTAAAATAACATGCGATAGAAAGATGAATCTAAGCTTTTGTGAGGTTTTGCAACTGTATTACTTTTGGTTTTCCAATGACTTTCAAGAATCCAGGTAGTGTGTGAGTGCACGGTTGTCTTTTCTATGCTAATTCCATCACTTTCAATCACTGTGGATACAGTAAGTATGTATACTCAAAATATCTATTTTACACTCATTTAATACCCCATATTAAAATGTCAGTCACACTGGATATAATGGTACATATTGTGTTAATAAAGGTTTTTTGTTGTGTAGAAACTGGTTTAACATAACTGTATCAGTATATTTATGTTTATGTCATCATTGTACACAGTTAAGTCACTATATATATATTTTAAGACAATATTACTTCCAAAAACTGGTTTTGTTTATTTCTTCAGAGAAAATTCACAATAGAAGGAGATATATCTATTATTTTTCGAAGCTGCCAATTAACTTATCATTTTTAACTAAGCTAGAAATATATTGTAAATTCATGTCTCCATATTTTAATTTATATTTATATAAAATATAACATAAAAATTTGTAAATTGATGAATTGTACACCTAACCTAAGTCAATTTAGTTGATCAAATTTAATGAAACATAAATGTGTTGTGGACTGGATACACATTTATTCACTGTAAATTTTTGTTTATGCATTTATTTTTACATACTTATTTTTCATATATAAATTGTGTGCATGAAGAAATATGTGATATGCCATTTTGAGTTTGTTTATTTATATCTTAACATTTATGCTCTGTTTTTTACCTCATAGTGAGTAATAACTGTAGTGATTCTGATGGAATACTTTTAGCTTTAATACTTCATTATGGTACTTTTGTTAATATTTATAACTGATTTTTTTATCCAAGTACAACTTATCTTAACAATTGTAAGTTATATTTGAAATCTATTAGAGCCAAAATAATTAAAAACTGTTGAATATCACTCTTCTAAATTAAAACAGTGGTCTTTTTTATGTCTTTAAAGATGAGAGTAAAATGTTTTATATAAATTACTGGGATCTAACAACTGTGTCAAAATAATTTTTGAAAAATTTATATTTATATAAAATAACATTTTAAAGATATAGTTAAACATTTTCATTATTTAAGTATATACAAGACACAGCATCTAAATTTTTATTTTTTAATTATTATTTAATTGTTCAGGATTCAAAATGGTATATATATATTTTATTAATCTCTAGTTATTATTTTCAAATGCAATGTAACATTTTTATGTCAACAGGTCCTATCCTTTGGACATGCCATTTATAACTGCACAAACTCTCTTCAGGTATCCCAACTGAAATTTCTGGTGAGTTTTAGGAAAAGATAAAACATGATTTTTTAATTACTCATAAAGCTTAGAAATTTGAATAATTCAAACTGTTCATTAATGTAGAGTATAAGTAACAATATTTGTATAAAGATATGAATATTACTTGAGCATTAATATATCTAGTTTTTTCTATGTCATTAAATTTTATATTAAGATTAGCCCTAAATCCAAATATTAAGTTAACAATGCAAAAGTCTATTATAAAAATGAAAAATAATAAAATTAAATGTACTGCAACCACACTGGTTTCCATTGAATTGGCAGGACTATCCAAGTACATCCATGGGGTAAATATGTTGATGATGCCTTCACCTGGACATCATCCAGGATGGTAGGAGCAAGGTGTCTGCTTTGCTTATGGCATGATGGGGCACCGATGAATAAATTATCCATACTTTAACAAACAGCAAAGGTGGCAGGACTATCAGTTCCAGCCTACCAATTCAAGGATCAAAGTACCCAAGGTTATTTATTCTTTCTGACAGCTCAGTGAGTCCAGGTCAACCAGTAACAAGTGATGGGTATTGTCATAAATCCTTAATAAAACTCAAAAAACTCACGTCAGATCTGGTCACTGGTTTGGGGATACACAGTGAACTGCTTGCATTGAAGAGTTTAGTGGTCAGCTCAGCTCTCACAGGGCTATGTTGAGCATGGTACTAGCTGTGGTACTTTTCAATATATCAAGCTCTCCAAGTGAGACCACCACTCTGCCCAGTGGATATTGACTTTGTTCTGGGGAATGGTGATAGACTAGAGGTAAGAGAAGAGGTAGTTCCAAAACACACTTACCTTTTCTCACACTTTTGCTTTATCCCAATGAAAGGTTCTCTTCTTTGCCCATCTAAGCATTGGTATGAATTCTTCCTTGCTTGCTCCAGTATTTACTCCTCACTATATAATTTTGTGACACTCTCCGCCTACGTCAATGCACCCTCTATACCCAGTCCATATATAAGCTCTCTGTTATTCTTTGTTTTTCACTTTTTCTCAATGGTAAAAATTTATGAAAATAGTCTGTTTTCTACAGGTTTATATTCAGCGCTGTTACTACATTTGCAATGTTTTCTTTTGAATTATTTTAGATCTTTTGTGGGGGTTTGAGTTTATTGTTTATTTTCTTTATTTACAATTAAGAAAAATTTTGGAGACATTTTTCAAATATGAGTGCTCACAGTACATGTCTCAGACATGGAGTTGCCTGATGTCCCTACCACCTCATGAGCCTATCATTACTCGGGGGTGGGGGCACAATCTGCAGAGGACATACAGTTCCTTATATACAGAGAGGTAGAGTCTTATGTGCAGTCTGATGCTTTTTTGTCCTGGTGACTCTGAGGCTGAGTTTATGGGAGATCAAGAGTGGACTGGTAAGAATTTAGACTATTTTTCCAGCACCTTCCTTTGCTCAGACAGCTACTCCTGAACTTTGGATGAACATTTTGCCTCCTGCACCCTTTTTACAACTAGTATGCCATTTTTGTAATGTTTTGAGTGTTTCTCTTGTGGCTCACATATCTTCACCTTCTTTATTTGGAGACACTAGTCCATCTGCTTACCTTGTCTTTCCACCTTAGCCAGATATTGCTGTGCATGCAAGGAGATTTGAAGATCAATTCAGGGAGGGTGCTGCCATGCCTTTTCTTCCTCATTTATTGGATCAGAATGCCTTGGCTTTCCATCGCCTGTAGAACCCTTATTTGGACTCTCAGAAGCTGGACTCTCTGCTTCCTATTTGAGGCTCTAGACAAGATGCTGCTGTTCATATTAATTAATCTCAGTTTTGCAGAATTCTTCTGTCACTTACAACAGTTTATTATCATATTTGCAACTGTTCTCTGAGGCCTATCATAGGTCCCCTGCTCAAATATCTGAGGATCTTATTAATTCATTAACTTCAACTTTGGTCAGATATTCAGCTTCTGCTCTCTTATTGGTATCTTGGTTGGTTTATTGCTGGAATAATTTAGAGAGAGAGTTTCCCTTCCTATGATGGCCCTTAGAGATCTCAGAAAAACTCCTTTTCTCAGACAGTCTATTTTTGCATGAATTCCAGACTTCATGGTGTCTAGAATAGTAGTGGCCTGTCTACATTCTTCACTTTCTACACTGGGTTCTCAACTGCCCCAAAGTTCTTCTACAGAACAGTTTATTGCATCTCCCATTCAAGTTTCCAGATCTGCTTCAGTACTACAATCAATTGGAACAAAAGGGTGATTTTAACCTTACTAATGGAGATCCTCCTCCAGGATGGAATGCAAATTTCTGCATCAGTGACTACCTTATGGGATCTCATCTAAGAGTGTTTGTGTCAGTATGGGAGACTTTCACCACAGATCAGTGGGTCATTCAATTTCTGAGGAGTGGATTGTCATTGAATTCATGCATCCTCCTCCTCTGTTTTTCATACTGGTTGGCTTTCCACTTCCCAAGAACACTCTTACTTCCAACTGTTGAGCACAAGCCACCCAGAATTTACTGCACAAAGAGGTCATATAGCATGTCACCTCCTCTCTCGAGGATTTTATTCTTGGCTGTTGGTAGTACTGAAAAGTCAGGAAATTAGCAAGTGATCATCAACCTTTCTTGTCTCCATCGCTTCCTTCAGCCTCCTTGGTTTACAATGGAGTCATTTCTTTCCCTTTGGTGGCTCTTTACATTCAGACTATGGATGACAAGATTTGATGTCGCAGATGTCTACCTTCATATTCTGATTGCCGAGTCTTCAATGCATTATCTCTGTTTCATGAACAAACAACCAGGTTTTTCAGTTTTGTGCTGTACCATTCGATCTTGCATCTGCTTCATACATTTTTTTTGCCAGATAGTTATAGTTTTTACATATCATCTCTACTCCCCCAGCATTCCCATTCACCATTCCATGGACGACTGTTTTCTTCTCGCCCCTTCACGCCATTTGATAGAACTGTGCACTCAAACTCTGTTATCAGAAGCTGCAAGAGCTGGGTTTCTTATCAAAAAGGAGAAGTCTATTCTTACTCCCACACAGTACCTCATCCATTTAGGGGTGTTTTCAATTCAGATTATGTCAGGCCCAAACTTCTCTATGCCTTCAGGCCATGGAATGGGTGATTCTTAAAACCCAGTTGTCTCCTTCTCCACCAGCATACACAGTTCTATCTCTTTTGGGGAACTCATTCCTATAGGTCAGGCCCACATGAAGACCCTTCAATGATCATTATGGTTACACCAGAACATTTGCACAGATGCACTGGATTGTCCAGTGAGACTGTCGGATTCCAGTTTGCTGTATCTTAGATGGTGGTTGAACAGGGACAACACGACAGTAGGTGTCCCTCTGCCACCTGCACAGCTAAAGATACATCTGTTCACAGATGCTTCTCTTCAGGGCTGGGGTGCTGCAATAGAAAATATGGAATTCCAGGGACTTTGGACAGTAGAGGAAGCTTTATTTCACATCAATCTTATAGACCTTTTTGTAGTTGAACAAGATATAACTCAGGGTCTCGAATTGTTGCAAGGGAAGGTGGTAATGCTTCATTCAGACAATTTCATGGTTATCTCATACTTTTCGAACAGTGGATCATCTCCTTCGGGTACACAAACACCATATTGTTCTCCTTGCTTGTCATGTTTCAGGGGTGATTAATCTAGTGGCCAACCAGTTATCTCATCCCAACAGAGCTCTTTCTACAGAATGGATGCTTCATCCTCAAGTTTTGCATTGGATCTGCTCTTGTCTAGGATCACAACAGATTGATGCTTTCACCACACACACTGGACAGCTCAGCCCCCATCCTTCTGATCTCCAGTATCTCACCCTTTGGCTTTGAGAGTAGATGCTCTCAGTCAGGATTGGATGGGTCTTCATTTTTGTACATTCCTTCTAATTCGTCTTCTTTCCAAGGTTCTGGCACTGACTTACTCCCGGACGTGACAAGTTCTTCTGGTGGCACCATATTGACCAGTTCAGCCCTGGTTTCCACTGCCCCAGTATTTTCAGGAGTATCAGGCTCTTCCACTTACTCCCTTGTCATCTCTCTTACATGAGCTTTTCATCCAGCAGTCCAGCTCTCCGATTTTATATGGCATGTACTAAAGCATTTTGGGGCTCATGTTACTGGTTATTTATCCATTGGGATCACACGACTTATCCCCTATCACTTTGACAAGTTGGTTTGGATAATTACTCTGGTCTTTCATAGGAGGAGAGAGACTTTTTTGGGTTTCATCTCATCAAGTTCTACATATATTGATGTCTCTGGCAGCTTGGTTGCATTGCCCACTGGACAGAGTTGTACAGGTTGGTATGTGGACCACATCTAACATCTTTATATCACTCTGTTTACAGGAATTATCAGACTCTTTCTTGGATGGAGTTTTTGGCTACCCCTTGTGGCTATTCTACACACTCTGGCTCGATTTTGACAGAGATGAGTAACTTCATTCTATTTTATGGACCTTCTCATCATTCTCCTTAGGATCCCACTCAGTGGTGAGTGATGCCAATAGACAAATAATTAAATTCCTGGTAGCAATGAGCTTCATTGAGATGGGGTGTTCCATAAGACTGTCTTGGTGCTTTCTGGGTGGTTAACAATTGTTCTACATCAAACATAATATAAAATACTGGACTGCCACTCATGGATTATCATGAGTAAAGCATAAAGGGACTTTGTTCATCACTGCTAACCCCTGAATTGAACAAATCTGGGTTGGTTTGCTTTTAAAAATAGGGAATGTGAAGACTCTGGAGCATCATTCCTTAGGACTCCTCAACACGAGTCATCCCACCCCCTCTCGTTTACTGGAGCATGGTAGTCTTTACCACTCTCAGTGTCTAGTTGCTGGAGAGGTGGACAGAGGTCTGTTCCTCCTGAGTGATGTTATGTTGTACTCTATATTCCACTCAAGGAAAAGAGAATGAAGTTAGATACTCTCCCATTCTTAACCCTGGATGGTTTTCCCAAATGTTGGATACTCCTCGTTATTCCAGTTCAGAGATGACACTTCACTATCCAGTTGTGTGATCATGGCTCTTCTTTTTGGTAATTCTCTTACCATCCATGATCATGAAAGAGGATCCTCGACTTCTCATAATTCCAAACCGAGTATCATGTTCATGAGCTATTGGTTGAACTTCATTTTTTCCACATCCTGCTCATAATTCTGGGGGTAGGAGGTGTTATCTGAGCTTATTCAGTTGGGGGGGGGGGGGAGACTTGTCCTATTGGATGTAGCTTGCATTCTCTTTGTAATTTTGGTGGCTCGCATGCAACATTTTGTAACCTTCAGGTTGGGGGCCAGGGCCTGTAATTCCAAGTTTGGTTTGTTGCATTTTGTGCTTCTTCAGGTTGGATTGGGAGTTTGTCCACTTGGGTGTTACTTCTCTTATTTTCATAATTCCAGTGGCTCGACATACAATATCCTGTAACTTTCAGGTTGGGTTCCCTTCATATCATATTCCAATTACACAGTTATATCACATTGCAGTCCTCATGCTCTAGCCACTACACCTTGGATCTAGCTTTGCATCAATAGCCCCATAATTCCAATGATGAGACATGGAATCTCGTCTGTGTGGTTGGGGCCTGGACAAAATCTCATGGTAATGAACAATGTTGACTCTGTAGCCAGTTGGACCTTACCACCTATGTTTAGATTTTGCTTTATCTGTGTGAAGAGCAAACCTGTTCCAGAAGTAGTGTTCTTATTATATCTCAATTTTGCACACCTGTTTTTCTATGCAGATGGCCCCTCCACCTAGTCAGTGTGGGATTGTGGCTAAAGTATGAGAGGAGGTTTACATTTTCCAATATCAAAAATGTATATTCAATAATACCTACTCTCACACTATCCTGCCCTTCATCCCCATGGTATCTAGTGTTCGGGTCTGATAATCCTGCCAGTCCCAAAAAAGTGAATAAGAAAGTATAATGGGGAGCGTATATACAAATCATTGACATTGGTGGAGAGAGTCACAAGATTAAAATCTCTAGGGGTGATATAGTGGAGTATAAAGTCTGGAACAAGCAAGGCAGAATTCATAACAATGCTTAGATGGGCAAAGAAGAGAACCTTTTGCTGGGGTAAAGCTAAAGTGTGAGAGGAGGAAAGTATTATCAGAAATACATTTTCAGTATAGTAGAATGTAAAAATTTTTGACTTTGTCTAGCCCTATGACTACCAGGTGCTGTGATTCATAGCACCTAATGTCACTCTGATAGTATTTTGTTCCAAAAATAAAACTAGTGGGTGAAATTGTTTGAAATTTGACAAGAACCTTCCTAAAAGTAGGTAATTTTAGAAAAATTAAATATTTAATTTTGATTTTTTCTGCTTTTTAAAAAATTAAAATTCATTATTTAATGTAGTTATTTACAATTGGACTCTGAATATTTCACCTGCAAAGTAATTTTTCATTTTAAGAATAAAAATACTAATGTTTACCTTACAGTTTTCATATTTCACTTCCATAGTCTTTAGAACCTCCTAAATTAATATCAAAGTTTTTTAAGGTAAATGTTTATATTTTGTTTGCCATTTTCTCTACAACATCGCTAACTCTACCTATTATCATCAATGTACAGTCCAATGAAATGTTTAAAATTAAGAAATACAAATATGTATATACCTTTTAAGTTTTTGATGATTATTTCAATTACACCTTCAGTGACTGACATGCATAATTTTATGCCTTTATCTTATCACTTATACTTTATTTTTAGTGTTTTATTTTCCTCTCCTTTTCTTCGTCTTTGCTCATTTATGTTGAAACATATCAATAAGGGCTTCATCTGTTAGGTTTAGCCCTCTCTGGCATAACATTTTTTGCACTCGTAAGTGTCTCAAAGTTGTTTTAGTGTTTCAAAGTATAGAATAATTAAAAAAATTATGAAACCTTTCAAATATAAATCTTAAAACACAAATAATACATAATTAACTAGAATATAAAAGCAAAACCTAAATGCAATGTGTCTATGAAACTAATATATACAAGACAAGAGAAAATTGCTAAGCACTGAGGGCACCACTTTCAACAATGAACTTAGCCTCATTATAATGGTGCTAAAAGTAAAACTATACTATACTATATGTGTTGTGTAAGGATAAACGACCTTGAAGGACGAAATTTGTTCTTTGTATTGGTTACAAACATGCCATTCAACTTAAAACAGTCACAAAGCAACCCAGCTTCTATTTTGCAAGTGGGCATGCCATAATTTGAACTCAAGAATGTCTATAACAATTTACTTTCGATGCCAGTTCTAGGAATTTGTATGAAGTTACTGGTAAACTAACTGTATGAATATGTAGTTTATTGCCAGCAAAAAAGACGTTTTTAACTGTAGTCATTTCTCACATACCAAAATCTAAAGTTCAGTTGCTATTGCTACTTGCCCGGCATGGCCAGGTGGATAAGGCGGTCGACTCACAATCTGAGGGTCGCGGGTT